CCGCCTCGGCGCCGCGCGCCATTTCCTCAGCGGCCTCGCCGGGCCTCAGGGAGCGCGACGAGGCGGTGCGAGGAGGACTGGGCCTCGGGGGGAAGGCCGTGCCGGGAGGGAAGCGGAGCTAACCGCAGGCAGCGCAGATAGCGCTGCTGCTTGGAAAGGCCAGAAGTGCCTAGAGCCCCTTTCCTCAGTCACCAGAAGCGATGAGGAGGAGGAAGAAAGCCCTGATCTGAGCAGGGGAAGGAGCGCCTTGCCTCCGCGGCGGCTCTGGGACCACATCGCACCCCTCGGCCGCGTGCAGCTCCCACCGCCGAAGGCTCCGTCCCCACCTTTTACGTAGACTCCACAGGGAGGTTTTGTAAGCAAGGGGATGAGGCAGCGCGCGACGCTCGCTCAAAGCGGCTCCAGCGCTCCTGGAAAATCCTCGAGCTCCGCGTGCTGCCGAACGCGCGACGCCCAGGAACGCAACGCGCTGGGGCTGGAGGCCCCAACCTCTGCCAGAAACACGGCTGCTTTCACGGTGATGCAGCGCGAAGCTTTCTCCCATAACATTGTTTTCCCCTTCACTGCTTGTGAAGGACCTTCGCAGAGTCTGTGCTTGTTCTGTCTCTGTGTCCTTTTTTTAATACCTTTGTGTATGGGGAAGAGTTAACCCCAGAGAACAAGTTTTCGGAACCTTCCTGCTTCTGCAACGGCACCTCTTCCTGTTTAACAAGGAACAGCAGTGCTGGCTTACGCCAAAATAGCCAGTAAGCTGAAATACAGCATACTTGTATTACATTCCACAGCAGGGGTTTAAGGCATTTTCTTTCTTTTCTTCATTTAGGCTTCCTCGTCCCCAGAATGAACTTATCCCTCATCTCCTTAACAGGTAGCAAAGCAAGAGGCACAGAGGGGTAGGGAACATGCAGTGTCACATGGCAAGTCAGAAACATGTAGGAGAACTCGTTTACAAGTATTGCAACTGTGACAAGAGTCTTGCTCCCTTTGAAAATGCACGAATGCACCGAGATTGTTATCTTAGATACTTCTGCAGGCAACCCGGGAGAGAAACCACTCCTGTTTGGGACCCAGAGTCAATACGCATTCATTGGTATGACCAGGACCCACTTTAGTTGTAGCTTATTTAAAAAGCAGGGAAAGGAATGCCTTAAAAAAAAAAAAAGTCCCTAAAGGACAAGGCTGCTGGCTCGAGTCTTTTTTTGTTTGTTTTCTCCAAAAAAAGAAAAACATATGCCTTCCATTCACTTCCAGGCTAGTTCAGAACAGGATCCTCACCCATCACTACGCCTCTTCTCCCTGCTGCAGTCTGATCTGAAGTGCTCTTTACATGGAAAAGAGCTTATAGCAGGCTCTGGCTGCTCTCACAGCCAAACGGCTGCTCACCCAAACGGCATCCCAGACCTGCGTTACACCTCTCAGCTTCACAGCAACAGACATAAACAGTGGGAAAGAATGGGGAAGGTATTTCTAGGACGTTCACGTTTGGCTCTAATAATCAGTGAGCCTTTTGAATGCATAGGTGGCATCCACACATTTGCGCTGGGAAGAAGGCAGTTTGGACTCTATGCTGACATCTTCTGGGAGGACAACACTGCTAGGAAAATGAGGTTTTCCTCCTCTCTTGGACGTTGTTAACACCCTGTGTGTCTTAAACTGAAACTAACAGCTCGAGCACAGTACAGAGGAAAAATACGTGTGGTACGGATATGGAAGACAACGTCTACAAGGTATAAGAAGCCTCCCCCCTCTGCTCACCTTCCCCTCTGCTTTCAGCATCACAGCACAGAAGCTAAAAAACACTCCCCTGCACTCACTTCCCAGCTTCCAACACCTCCAAATTACCCTCCCTTGGGGCTCACAGAGAATCCTGCTCCCCCTGGTGACTTGTATTTTGTTTTCGGCTGGTTCCTCAAGCCTATGGCTAACTGCTGCTTCTGCCGGCTGCTGGCACCATCTGCAGGCCCTAAACATGAAGGAAGATGAAGTACCGGATTAAGTTTCTCACAGCGACAAAAGCATTTTATCTGACTGCCCTAGTGTAAAGTAAACACCTCGGTTTGGGTCTCCTTGCTAGTCAGAATGGGAAAGAGACAGATAGCTTGGCACTGCAGAAACATGAGTTTTGCAAAGGTGCTGGATCTGCCTTTAAAAGAATCCAAGGGCATTTGAGATGTTCTGATCATCATTCAACTCCACTGTGGAAGCAATATATCATCAATCAATTCCATTCAGCAGAAGTAGTATACTGTCACATAGCTAATTCAGATTAAACCTCGTGCTTTGTGTATGTGCATTAGACTGGGATTATCAACACCTCTGAAAATGCTACGTTCTCTTCCTAAGAAGTTATTTTTGGCTAAGAGGGAGATGGAGGGTAACTAATTTTGAAATGTTGCTACCGTCATGCGTTGGAAAGAAAGGCTTAACACTTGGCTGTAAGAGGCATACTCATGTGATCCCTTTCTCAAGTGGGCCGTTTGCGTTGCATTTACAGCTCTTAGGTTCAGATTGCAACAGAGCAAGTGCTGAAGAATTTAGTAGTACCTCCTGAGCCAGCCCCATATCTCATGTGCTCACCTTTGACTTGCTTCTGTAGGACCTGTCTTTTGGTGTGATCGGCATTGCTTTGCTGAACAGTGCTTGCAGGAGTATTGTCTATTAGCAGCACCTGTCGTGGATTCCCCTCTTTATCAAAGAGAGAGATAACTTCATTATAAACTGTGAGAGCAGAACATAGTTTAAAAAAAAAAAAATCTTGCAACACATGAGTCACTAATAGCTAGGGAAAATAAATTGTAGGGTTGTAAATCAAGTTACCAATACTGATCTTTTTTAAAACAAACTTCTAAGAAAAATTGATTAGCACCAGTAAACATCCCTTGCCAGAATGGGGAAGGATTCCAGCTTCAGTTTAATAAGGTTTGGGCACCCGCTTTTCCTAACCTCATCCTGGCATTCTCTATCTGCATAGGGGCAAAACAACTGAGGCTGACAGATAGTTGGTTCAGCCTGTCATGTCACGGCCCCTTACTGAGGCTGATTTTGTATGTCAAACAGTCTGAATGACTAGACTAAGATCAGCAGCTTGTGTTACATGTGAATCCACCTGAACACTAATTCTTACACCTGTGTTTGGGTCATCCTGTTTAGGCAGGAAGTCAATGACATCATAGAAGAAATTTAACTTATTTCCTCCTGCAGTTGGTACCATGTCTCTCTTATCCTGTTCTGAAAACCACCCTATCTCCATTGGGTCTTGCCTTCTGCTCAGCCCATTCCCATTAGAAAGAAATACAAGGCTCTACCATGTAGAAGTTTGGTTTGAGAGTGATATCTTTTCTTTCTGATGTTCCTTTCAGCAGACATCTCCCCATCTTTCAGCTTCTTCAGCACTCTCCCGGCTGGGGGTTCTGACATGAAACTCCTGATACTTGCATTGTCTTTCATCTGAGACTCTGGAATGGATTTGGCCTCCCAGTTTGAGCACATCCTCCTCAGAGGAGGGGGTTGAGGGGAGTTCAGTTCCCAGGCCTCTGGGTTGGGCTCTGGAATACCAATTGACTGCAATGAGGGAAGTCCTTCAAGGTCTCCAGGCTTGGGAGAACAAGAGCAACATCCACAGCTGATTTTTTCCCATATAAGTCTAGATAGGTGGGGGAACACAGCCCAGGAGTCATCTTTCCTACAGCAGCACCCATCGGTTTCAGCTAAAAATCAGAGCAATGGCAGCCTAAGACAACCCAGTATTTGCTTGTTATTTAAAGCTTTGAGACTTTTTCCTCTTCAAAGTATTTACAAACATTTGGAAGACATCATGTTTCACCTGGAATACTACTATAACTGCTTCTATGAATGGGGAAACCAAGGCAAAGCTTTTTGTCTGTGTATCTATATTCAGCCATGCCTACAAGATAAGTCAGCAAGCAAGCTGCTGTAAGCAAGCAAGCTGCTGTAAGCAAGCAAGCTGCTGTAAGCAAGCAGCTGATGAGCCCCTGCCTCTCCTTCCTGTTCTGGGTTGCTAAGCGAAATCAGTGTCTATAAATCTTCAAATCAAGGCCCAGTGGATCAGCTAGCGGTGTAAAAGTAGCTGGTCATCTTGGACAGGTCCCCTCACACCAGAGCATATGTTGCAAGGTGCATCTGTTTGTTTACAACTCCTATCACTCCAGTATCAACCCGTCAGTTTTTGTCTACCTGTGAAATAGGAAGGTGCTGCTGTCTCCCCTATGCACACTGGAGACTGGGTGGTCCCTGCAGAGGGAAAGTCCAGGCTGGAGGTGATAGCTCGGCCCTAGCCTCCTAAGTGAATCCCATGCCTTAAACACCAGGCCAGAGCTCCTGGAGTAGATTTTATTGGCTACCACCGTTTACCTTCCCATACGTATGCGTATGTGCTATGCATGTTCTGCCATCTCAAGAGGAAAGTGTTATCCATGACCAATGTGCCTTGAATT